ATTTTGCGAGGAGGAAGCAGAAGAGTCGATGAGTCATCACTCGCCGCGAGCCGCGTGGCCCCTCCCAACTACGTTAGCACCACCGATTGTGGTAGTTCGCTCGCGGCCACGATAGGTGGAAAGCTGGCTGGCGCCAAGCCAAACCGATCTCTCCTAAAGAGCCCCAGCGTCCGGAGGGTCAAGGATATAGTCTGTCACCACCACCCTAGGCTGTAATTGAATGGATACTCCTCTTCATTTCTCACTGTGCCATTTGCTGCTTTTTTTTAGTTTCTCTATCGAACACCGTGCACAAGATCCGGCGTATTTTAACAAATAGACAATGAACAAATAAAAAAATAGTGAAATGAATTTGAAGAAATCGAAAAAAAGAATGAGTCGCGGAAGAGCGCAGAAAACCCGGCGGTGAAGATCAGTGACTCTATGGGATACAAGTCACGGAGGTCTTGAAGCGGCTCCAGATATCAACAACTATTTCTTTCAACTCCACTATGGCCCACCTATTGTGGTGTGTAGGGGTGGCAAAGAAGAAAATAACAGATTATAGCAAGAATGAAAGCAGTGAATAACTTACAATAAAATGTTAGTAAATAACAGCAGAGTTTTTTTATAGGAGGCACCCCTTTGTGTTGCTGGAAGGCAAATTGCCATATTACAGTATTTTTTCAGATTGCTGGCGACGCTATCAAGCTCCTGGCAGTAGGGTTCTGCAACTGTTCTGGAGTTAACCGGTCAGAGCTCAAAATTTGAGTAGAATGAAGTGCAGGTCTCGGAACCAACTGATCGTCGAGGTTGAAGGGAAGAGTTTGCGATGAAAAATGGCAATGTATGGGTCTGTGTGGAAAATATCATGTCCTCAGAATGGACAGCCTTGCACCTGTTTCACTGCGCAAAATTGTAAGACAAAGGCAATAAAGCGCCAAGTTGCTCCAGTAACCCTTCCATTTTTCCGGAAACTCTGACTTCAGATTCCACCTTCATTGGCCATCTCCCAGTGGAAGAAGCGATGCTACCGTTGAGTAGCATGAAAATGGATACTCAGTTGTTTCTTATGGATTCATAGGGTTCATTCTAAGGAATCGTTACAGATCCTACCCAATCCGCTCTTTTTAACTTTTATTTTGAAGTATCCTTGCTGTATAGTGTATGGGTCCTTTCACAAGACGTTTTCAAGATTCCGTTTCGCATTTTCCGCTCACTGACAAGCCTTTGGACAAGCCAAGAGGAGCATGACAAGGTCATTTTGGATCGGATGCTATTTCAACACACGTGCTGGTCTAATGCGACTGTCAACTTTTCGGGAGTTAGGGATGTCTCAGTAACCGTTTCCCTTCCACCTCCCCCGTTTGCAGCTTTGCCGTTACAAAAGTGTGGGGGCGCAAGTGAGACTAAAATGAGAGTTCTATTCAGGCCGATCGGAAATGAAGGAAAGAAAGAGTCTTTGATCTTTGATCGATTGAGCATGCATGGGAAGCACCTCATCTTCGCATGGTTTGTGAGAGAGAGCGTGAATTCGTCTAACACTTGACAGATCGTCGGTATTAGCTGTAAACGATCCTGGCACTCATAAAAACACGTGAATCGGAGAGAACTGAAAAAAAAACTGGGGTAGCAGCTGCAAAAGCCGTGAACAAGTGAGCTAAAAAAAGTGAATGGAATGGCCGAAGTTTGCTTTACACAGCAAGTCTTTGAAATTTTGGCATTTTTTCGGGAAATTTTTTAGCAGTTAATGAGTCCCTAAAATTATGGGACAACCCATCACAAGATGTATGTGCTGCAACGATAAACCGTGAAGCTCAGATCGTGCGGACCCCATTCTCGCCTGGGCCGCGAAATCTTCCATTTTTGAAAGGCCTACTGGTCTGCAAGGCTAAAAGCATTGACATGCACAAACTGATATGACCAATGTGGGGGCCCAGCCGATCAGAGTGATGCGAGGCCAATTCGCATACAAATGCTCAAATTAAACAATATTATCGTGAAGGGGAAACAATTGCTCGTTCAATTAGAAACAAGTGGTCAAAACTGCTCACGGAATGGCACCCATATTTGCGAAGACGGATTGGACGACCGAAATCCCGATGGAGAGATGAGTTTAAGAAAGTGCTGATTACGTGCAATTGGCAAAATGCGGCAAGATGCATGACGAAGAAGGAATGGATTGATCTAATGAGGTGCCACATATTGTAAAATATTGACATGGCAAATAAATAAATAGATCGTGAAGGGGTAGCGGGTACGTGGCCCATCCCAGAAGTCGTGCAAACTGAGTCTTTCTTTCAATTCGTGTGAACAAATTTAGCTAGATGCACTAGAATGCTTTTTTTTGCAAGGACACTTACAACCAAATTTCTTTGCCTTGATGGGGCCAAAACCAAGTTCGACCCCGCCCAGACCAGCCAAGCCCACTGCTCTGTGGGAATGGTTAGTAAATATCGGAACAAACTTTAGTCGTGAAACTGCCCGGGAAGGTGAAGAATCGCATCAATACAGTAGAATTGAGAAGTGACGTTAAGCATATTAGGTTTGAACTGCAATGCCACATTCGAGGCAGGCTTACTCCCGGAATTCGGTTGAAATCAGGTGTCCTGCTTGAAAACCCCTGTAAAAATAAGTAACTAACTACTAGTACTTACACTCGTATTCCCCGAGATCGGTTAGGCGTGGCTGCGTACTTCAACTGAACGTGGCGGAGGCTGTGCTTTTGGTGAGCTACTTTCATTTGGAGACGATTGTGGTCGTGTCGTCGTTGTTGTCAATGGAGAATGATCGAGGGTTTTGCCTTCGAGTGGAGGTGTCAGGCGCCCTGTGCAGGTCTGATGGTGGGGATCGAAGCCATGGCGCTTCCCGGTTGAGTAGTGAGTTCAAAACTCTGGTAATTTAGTGTCGAACAATTTATGACACTGCAATGACATCCGGCCATTTGTCGGCTTGAACACCAAATACTTATGTGTTTCGCTCTCAGCTCTCCTTTCAATATCTTCGGAGATACGGTCCGCGATCAAGTGTAGTAGTTGATGTGGAGTCGGGAGGGTAGTGTGGTCTGTGACGAACAACCTTGTACCGGTTTCGCGGCAAAAAATTGTAAGGGAGGGGCGCTATAGCGCAATATAGGTTCAGTGACGCCTCCTTTTTCCAGTGACTCCGCCTCCAGACTCCGCCTTCAAGGCCCGCCTTTCAGTGAAAAACGAAGCTGCCGGAAAAAGCATGAAAATCGTCACTTGTACGGTCGTAGTGTTCTATCGGGGAATCAGCTGTGCGGATGAGGGCGTAGTGTTGGAGATGGGATGCACTGGGCACGCACGAACTATAGGACCGAAATAGGGGTCTATCTAGGGCATTTGGCATGTTTTTCCTGCTTTTTCCTCACTATCGACTTACTCAGCACCTTGTCGTCTATATGCAAATCCCTAATCCACTATCTGTGATAGCGAGTGATCGCGGGTTTGCCTTTAAACACGACCAGTCGAATCGCCCGCCGAAGGCCGGGCCGATCATTCTTATGTTGTGGTGGTGAAGTGCCGTCCCCGGCCCATCCTACTGACGGCCCGTCGGATCGCCCGCCCCGGCCTCCAAACTGAGGGCCAGCGCTTACAAAATTTTTTTTTGTATTCCAGAACGATTACCATATTCACATTTGGTATATACCCCCCCCCCCCTTTTCGATCATGTGACCTCATATTCACTGCTGTTCTCACTTGCCTTGCGACTATATTATGAACTTTTGCAGCAGGCGCCGCCGACTCGGCGCACATCTCATCCGCTGGGGTGTCTCTTCACTTATGTAACCCGTCGCTCGCCCCCCCCCCCCCCCCCCCATAGAATGCAGCCCACTCGAATTTTCTGTAACAAAATTCGAGTCGATCAAAGAGCGGGTTCATCCATACACTGCTCGCGAAAATCGATTCGAGTCAACCTCGACCATTTTCTTACTCAACGTTTTCCGCTCTCGGTAGTTCCGGGTTCGAACTTCGAAATTTTTACTGGGTCCCCACCTACCCAGACAAACGCCCGCCGACTGCAATCTGCCGGGCTCTTTCCAACGCCCAGTTCGGGTGTGTCTCCTTCTGTTTATCTACCTGCCCACTTTTTACTCGAGTCCGTTTTCCCGCTGCCGAGCAGTTCCGGGTCTGAATTTTGAAGATTTGCGTTAGGCCCCGCCCGCCCGAACAAACGCCCCGCTCACTTCGGGTATGCCCCACGCCCATTGTGGGTGTAGTCTAACGTGGTGCATAGAGAATGATTTTGTCCCCGGTCCCTGTGATCTTCCGGAGGAATTTTACGAATTTTTGTCGTTGGCACTACTTCGGTGCACGCCCCGTCTAGCTGTTTGTGTGTATTCGGTATATTTTCAACACTGCCTCACCCCCCCATCCCAAAGTTGACGGCGTTTAAGTGTTTTGTTGACGTTTTCAAGGGACACCGCTCAGCTGAATATAGGCCCCGCCCATTGTGGGCGGAGCCTATTCTCCTATGGGTTCGACAGACGGACATACCTTCTGCTTTATATATAGCGTATGATTTTACCAAGAATTA